TCCAAAACGCCGACATGAAACGAGTGTCGCGGTCGCTGACAATGTCTTCTGGTACACCGTGGCCACAAATCCAACCAGTGTGCAGGAGGCGTGCCWGCTCGGGAGCCGTGGAGTAGTACTTGCAAGGGAGAAAAYGCGCRTACTTACTCAATCGGTCSACAMYCGTGAGGATGCCGTCGTGCCCGAGCCGGTCGCGAGGAAACGAGCCGGTGACGTCCATGGCAATGGAGAGACCGGGTTCCCGTGGGATAGGCATCGGGTGTAACTCGCCGTAGGGATTGCGGTTGCGGGGCTTGCTGCGTCGGCAAACTTCGCAAGAGTCGCAATACCGAGTGACATCGGTAATGAGGTCGGGCCATCGGAATCGCTGTCGAAGCCGTGCAATCGTGCGGAATCATGGTACTCGCCGAGGAGGCGGGTCCGAAGACGACGGTCGCGTGGGACACATAGTAAGTCCTTGCCTCTCGAGTGGAGGAGCAAGTATCCGTCGGCAATGCGGTAATGGCTGGTCGGCGGGTGATCCGAAGATAGCTGTGCATAGAGCGTGCCGAAGTCCGGATCAGATTGATATGCCCGGATGAAGTGTCGTTGAAGCTCCTCGTCGAATGCGAAGGCATGATGTGACATAGCGCAAAGATCAGGTCTTCGCGAGAGTGCATCTGCTGCGCGATTGGAGAGGTCGGGGACTTGTTTCGGTGTGAAGTCAAATTGGTCGATGAAGTACATCCATCGTTCGATCGTGCTGCTCACCGTGTCCTGCGTCTTGTAGTAGGTCAATGGATTGCTATCTGACCCATGTGAACCTACGACGCCCAAGGAGGAAGTGCGGCCAGCGCTTGAGAGCCATCAATGCGAGCAGCTCGTTCTTCCTTGCATCATCAAGCGAGTTGATGGGAGGCACTTTGTGGCTGAAATACTCCATAGGGTGCCAGTCGCCGCCGTCGTGCTGTTGCAAGACTGCCCCAATGCCATAGTCGGAAGCGTCCGTAGTCACTCGCGTCGGCAGGGTGGGGTCATAGATGCTAAGGACGGGTGCCATGAGCATAGCCGTCTTAAGTGCTTGGAATGACCGGCGTGCGTCGTCATCGAATACGAATGGCACCTTTGGCGATTGTAACCTCGTCATAGGTGCAGCGATCCTGGAGTATCCGGTGATGAATCGTTGATAGTAGCCCGCCAACCCCATGAATGAACAAACATTCGTGGTGTTGGTGGGCTCGGGCCATACTCGTAGGGCCTCGATCTTGTCCGCAAGCGGACGGATGCCTTGCGGCGTCACATAGTGTCCCAAGTACTCCAGCTCCTGCTGTGCGAACTCGCACTTGTCGCGGTTTGCTTTGTACTTGGCCTGTCGTAGCCGCTCCAAAACGGTGCGCAGGTGTTCCACATGCTCGTCCAATCTCCGGCTGTAAACCAGAATGTACGAATCGATCCAGCATGTGTCGGAACTCCGTCGTCATAGCCGCTTGRAAAGTGGCTGGGGCATTCGTAAGGCCAAATGGCATGACCAGCCATTCGAAATGCCCATACCGTGTCTTGAACGCGGTCTTGTAGCGATCCTCCTTGCGAATCTCGAGTTGGTGGTACC